ACGATACGAATCCTCGGACAGTTTATCCTGCCGAAAAGATATGAAAAAATACTTGCAATTCAAAGTTTGCTGGGTACAGAAAGATTATCGATTTACTCTTTGCACACTTTTTCTCTGCCTGAGTATAATAATATTGACGTGTTTTCATTGGCTTAAACCATCACGTTACCAATACACATGTAGGTGTGAACTAATTTCGTGTTCATTAAAATTATTCCGTTAATAGACATATAACAATCTTATTTACAAATGAATTGATAAAACAACAATCCCAGAAGCATTTAAGATAATAAAAATCATTGGAAAAAAATAAATGCATATAAATTGTAAATTTGTGTATGACAACTCAACCCCCTAAACAAAACTTAATAGACTCAACCAAAACAAGCGCCTGCTTCTTCACCTAACTATGTAGTTGCATGACCATGATTAGCAATTTAGCGAACCAAATCTAAGAGATAAACCTATTGTAAAAATAATACTATGACCACAGCAGATTTCGTACAGATAAATGGGACGAAACATCTCAGATAGATGTTTAATCAAATTAAATTCCCGATTTACATTTATGCAATAAAATTGCCCTAAAATGTTTTACAAAATGAGTATGGAGCTCCGTAACAAAATTTACCTGCGTATACCGGGAAACGTTGTTGTTTTTTTTGTTGGTGTTTTTTTTAAACCTGGCAATTATCGTTGCTTCGAAAAATAGAAATTTCGTAAGCTATTCTTTTAAATACCTTTTTAACACATCATTTTCCTTTCACTTTTGTATGCCTTAGATTTTTGAAATATGAAATATGTTTCGAAATTCCGCGTATATTTCCTGATATTCAGTACGGGTAAAAATAAAGATTCGGCCCCTCGACCATTCGACCCATAACAATTCGTCGAACTTGGGATATTGACGATTAAGCTAGAGCATGGAGCTTAATATAGGCATCTGTGGCCAGATTCGACGATAAGATATAATCATTTGAAACTAACTGTAAATCAGTGTAAGCATAAAGAAATAAATACATTAAATTATGTTCAGAAAATAGGAATTATTTTAATCTTCTTACATTAATGGGTGCATGGAATTGCCGAAAAACACCGAAAAACACAAAAAATACCGAACAACACTTAATATACAAAAAAAAATATTTAGGCTGTGATTAACTTCAGCAATATAAACAATTTTTGATGGTTATTTGATGAAATGTGTTCAATAACATCAGTTTTAAATCGATAATATAATAAAATACGCTGATGAATGTATTCGCTGATCCTGCACACTTTTTACTTGCGATAAAATAGATATATTTAAAAAAGTGCTGCTAAGTACATTTTTCAACCGTTTTAATGAATAACTATTACATAAAATTTAATACCTTTGTAAAATGTCAGTTATTTTTTGTAATAAGTACAGTATGAAAAACTTGTGTTTTTTCGGCTATTTAACAGTCAGCGTTAAAAACATGAGAAAGCCGGAAACCACATTGGACTCGCGATAAGAAAGGTATATGAATAAAAACACCCATAAAATTAGGCTTTTCAATCGTTTAAATAATTAACTTTCACTTTTTATTTGTTTATAGTAAAAACTAATCGAGCAGTCGTTTTATATTTATATGCTATTTGAACTTGCGTAGTTACAATAGAGTAAAGAACATATATAGAAAAGCAATAATTTACTTAATCATTACGCAGTATCTTATTATTTATTTCAGTGGTGAAACCTATAGGTTGGCTGAGGGTGAGGTTTTAGATTGTTGAATGTTGGCCATCCATCTTATGTCAACTGTGGTCTGTCCACATTTAGCATCGTCGGATACCCACGGCCGAACCATTTACATTTATCAGTTATGTCATGTTAAATGTTAATCAACCATGTGTATCCGACGATGACATTACAGTTGTTAACAATCTGCTGGTCATTTAGTTTGTTAACACTTAACTGGTCACACTTTTGCCCCAATTGTCACACAACATCGTAAGAATGTGTGTGACATGTTTTGCTCGAGTTTGAACATGGATCACATTGGTTGAAAATCAGAAGTAAGTCACAGTAGCCAATAAATAGAAAAAATGTTTAGCTCAATGGTTTATCTAAAGTTAAGAAGTTGGTAACACTACCTGATAATGGAAAAAACCCTTCTTAAATTGCTGTCCAATATAAATGAATTTCATGGAAAGGTTGTATATGAAGACTATATGTAACAATTATTGAATAATGAAAATATTACAACTTACATTTGAATTGTTTTGATTATATATTTCATTTTTATTAATAAACGATAAATTAATGCATTTGAAAATCAATGTGTAGAGATGAATACAACACACCAGAATATATGTATTAATGCATCAAAGTACAGTACATAGATGTACTATAATTTGGTAATTAAGTCTTGTAGGATGATTCAATTAATTGACTTTGTATAGAGTTCAAGCCAGATCATGTATTTTATTAGATAGCATCACTGGAAACTCAATATGACTGTTTCAATATTCTATACTGCAGTCCATTTAACGGGTGTTTCGAAAATGATTTCTTTGTTGCTCATCTATCAGCTTGCCTAGCAATACACACATGGAACATCACATCTTCCTTGTCTCATTAATAACTTTGGAAGAAAAAAGCCTTGGTGCATGTGAGTCACTTGTTAGGGACATTGACCTTGGTCAGAAGATGACCCCTATTGTTTTCGAGGTCAGTGATTAAAATCAACATGGCTTTGATGACAAAAATGGATTATATTATCAAGCAATGTATACTTCAGTACTTTCAGTGCTTTGATTTTATATTGTAATAGAATATCAGTATTGATAATATTTTTCAATCTGTTTATCTCTTATGGTGAATATGTGTATCATGATGGTTAATCAAGAGCAGTTTAGGATTTTTTTTTGTTAAAAGAAAATGGCATTACCCAAACCTGAAATTGGTCCTAGTTAATTATAGTGACCGAGACAACAATGACATGGGTTGACCATTGCCTTTGTAACAACATGCTCAGTCTTATATTTCCTGTAACCATGGCAACGAGGGGACAACTCAAAATTGACAAAAAATACTATTTTGCGTTGATTTGTTCCATCAAAATTTATTTCAAATTGCTGCAACTTCTCAATTGATTCAGATAGAGTCAAAGGCTTTTCAGCGTTGGTTACACGTTACCTTATGATTGACCTCGGGTCATTTCTTGCCTCTCACAAGTCCAAAATTTTCTTGGCGATGAAGGGGACTGCCGCCCTCCTTCAAACCCCCTAAACTGGCACATCCCACTTCTGGCAACCCCCTGATGTACCATTTGGATAGGAGGCGGCGCCGAAAAAGTGCTCACTTTTTTATCAACATTTCTCAAACGAAAACATGTGTTTGGGGTCCAAACAGGAATTTTTTTTCTTTATATGAGGCCTGAACGAGGGGGGTCGAATGTGCGTTGTTTCGCGTAAATATGATGTAAAGGGTTAACAAAAAATGATGAAAATTCCTGAAATTACCAAAATCACATTTTTTCATGTAAAAACATGGCCTGACATATAATTTTGATGAAAAATTGTTGTTTTGTAGAATTTTTTTTTTCATTAACCAATAAATCCATGAGCATTTTGTGTAAAATAGCTGTTTTCATTGAAAATTCCCTCGTTACAAGTTCAAATTGCTATAAACAACATGCTCAGTCTTATATTTCCTGTTACCATGGCAACGAGGGGACATCTCAAAATTGCCAAAAATCACTATTTTGCGTTGATGTTTTCCATCAAAATTGATTTTTAACTGCTGCAACTTCTCAATGGATTCAGAACGAGTCAAAGGCTTTGGTAACACGTTACTTAATGATCGACCTTGGGTCATGTTTGGCCTCTCACAAGTCCAAAATTTTCTTGGCGATGAGGGGGACTGCCACCCCACTTCAAACCCCCCAAACAGGCACATCCTGCTTCTGGCAACCCCCTGATGTACTGTTTGGATGGGGGCGGCGCAAAAAAGTGTTCACTTTTTTATCAACATTTCTCAAACGAAAACGTGTGTTTGGGGCCCAGACAGGACATTTTTTCAAAATTTGAGGCCTTAAAGAGGGGGGGGGGGGTCGAATGTACTTGTATATACAATCTTTACGTTAAATTATAAAACGCAAATCAAACATTGGGCGATGAACATGTAAACTGTTTATGACAATAAAACTATTTGACATTGACTTGAGAATCTAGATAATGATGTAATTGTTTATCTCAATTTAAAACGTATAATAACATAGGACATATCATTAAAAAACGAAATCTTTATAATCTTCTTTAATCACATTATTGATAAATGCTTTAGACAAAAGTCTAAAAGGAAATAAACAAATGCGACAGCACATAAAAGACCTTGCGTAACCATCATTATACCTTAGTTTTATAAAATTGTGTGTGTGTTTTTTTTGTTTTTGTTTTTTGTTGTTTTTTTTGTTTTTTGTTTTTTGAGGGGGGGGGGGTCTTGTCTGTGATATGCAGGCTTCATAGCCTCAGATCCCCTTTCAAAATTCCATTTTATTTAGTTCCACCCATTGTTTTCTCGTTTAGGGCACACGTATTTTTTTAATTGGGAACCATACACCTCTTTTCATGGAACGTGTCACATTGAAGGTTCCGTGATAACCGCCGTATGAACACATCTGCGGATGTTTCCTAATTCAAAATTTCACAATTTTCATTCTTTAATGTTGAATTCTGCTTAAGCCGGTGATTAGGGGCCTGGACGGTAATTTCTAGTACCGTCCATGAACAGGCTCAATCAAACCACGCCAGCAACATTTTCAATTATGCCGCGTAGGGCTTTCTTTAGGGATTTTGTTTTTCTCTATTTGGAACTTAAACATTTTAAAAAATTATTTTGTAGATTTTACTTTCGATTTGGCTTACTGGTGTGTGTATATACATACATAGATAGATATATCATATAAAGATATTATGCTTAACTTCTTAAATATATACGAGTGTACATAGTAAATAGAATAAAAATAGCTTACCTTTGCCAAACATGCATCTAAATATCTGTCGTAGCTCATTTTTCACCAACTTTTAAATGGATTTACAACAAGCACTAAAGAAAATACTTATACGTTTTTTTCGGTTTAAATGGAAACAACGCCGGAAGTTTGCTGTTACATATAAATTAGATATAAATAGAGAGATAAAGAGATAGATAGATAGATACGTAGGTAGGTAGGTAGATAGATACGTATATGTGTCTTATATGTACTATAGTTATAGTATATGAAACGAGTTGGTTACGAGGATATAATACTGGTTGGGGAGACATCAAGAGATGTTTCTGCTAACAAAATGGCGAGAACACGATAAACATTCTTGAAAAGTTAAAGACATCGATTGTTATGTTCCCTTTAAACGATTTTGTTTTCGTGGAAATGATACATTCAGCGAATGTACCGTTTGATTATATGACAATAAATTTCATTTCATTGAATTTGTTTATATTATTTATCTATTCTTTATATTATCAACCAGTTCAATTTCTGATACTATACAGTACACATATATAGAGATTTTGTGCTCTATTGTGTGCATATTATACATGTAATACACCCCTGATGAAGGCGTGTATACACCGAAAGTAATTTTGTATCTATGCTTTAGCACTGTATTAAAGTCTATTTTCTCCCAGTTTTTTGTTATTCTGTCTACGTTCGTGTATCCTTCTTGGGATTCAATGTTTGTGAAAAATATTTTGCAGATGTATATATTCATACAAACTCACATGTCTTTATTTTCTAATTATAAAATACTCATACTACATGTATCCTTTTAACACTTTAAACTTTATTTTTTACTGAAGTATACGAGGGTTGTACCAGTAAGTCATGGATAAAAATTATCAACGGGCTTTTTTGAGTGTACATGCAAAAAAAATCAACGCTTTATCAATATACTACGGAATCCCGTTTCCGCCTAAACAGATAACCCTACAACTAGAAATTAATAATAAAATTTCGACTTTTCGCGGTAAAAACGTACCCCGAAAACTAAAAAAAGTCGAGGTTTTTGACTCGATAATTGTCACAAAATCGTCAACATGTCGACCTATAAATTAGCACGAAAAGTAGATGTTAAATCACTTTAATTTCCACTTGTCGCGTATTATCAAAAGGTCGACAAGTTGATATTTGCATGACAGTTATCGCAAAAACGTCAACTTGTCTATCCATAATCTAGCGCGACAAGTAGAAATTAACCATAAAACCTCTAGTTGTCGAAGTAGGATTAAATGTCCGATATGGATCATTTACCTGTAACATATAACACGGGGGAGAATCACGCCTTTCGTTACCCAAACAAACAAGATGGCGGATGCAGCTACAAAGTAGGTTTTTCCCCTTTTTCTCTGAAATTCGTGATGTTCTAATGTAAATGTACATATAACAACCTTCTCCACAATTTTCCTGGCACACAGGATTTTATTTCATGATGTTTCGTCCCGTACTTTATCTGAAATGCGCGTCACCAGATTCGAAGCGAGAGAATTTTCCATCGGTTTGATCGTGGTAACGTACGGCGTTTTCTCTCAAATTCACTGTTTCTTTTACATATATGTATATTAACTGTAACCACTGACTTTAAAAAGTTGTAATATGTTGTCAAGCAAGCAACCATGCCCATTCTGGTTAGATTTACTGCTGTAAATATTAATATCGGGGCATTTCCCGGAAATGATAACGTATGGCGCACAAAATATCAATGATAACGTACGGCGCATTTTACTACTTGGTGGATTTCCATTTGTCCAATCAGCTGATAATGAATTACTTTTATGTAGGAAATGATAGATATCTGAAAAATGTGTTGGTCAGGTCAGAAATAATTAATTGAACAATGCTGTACCATCGGAAATAAATATCTTTCTAGCTGGTGGCATAATAGATATCCGTTGTTAATATACCAATTAAAACACACGTGTACAGTTTGAGAATAGTTTGTATAAAATGCAGAATAGAAAGAAAAGCCTCCACTTTCAGGAAACCTTTGTGAAGTGTTGTCTTCACATTAAATTTCGCCAGTGTTGTGCGATAATTATGGTCTTATACCCTTATCAGAAAGAAGAAACGCATTCAGCAGAGCAATAATGTTAAAAAGGTACGGACGGCTTGATATATTTTCTTTTCCAAAGAAAAAGTCTAAAATCATTCCTAACAAATTTCTGATAAGGAAATCTTAATATTTGAACCCGTCAAACATTAACAAAACGAAAATTGATTGCGAATAGCTTACACCCAGATGAGATGAGCCTGTGTTTATTCAATCTGGTCGCTCATTGAAAGAAAAATACATTACAGAGAATAATGAATGAGTGTAGGTTTTATAATGAATTTATTGAATGAGTTGGAAAATAATGTTATGCGAAAAAATTCAATGAATTCAGTAAATAAGAAATTTTCTGTTTATTTGACGGGCGGTTAATATTGAAACGCTATCATTTAGCGTGACGTTGTGCCACTATGACGTCAGATATATTTACGCGAAAAAGCCTTACAGTTTTTTATTTGTTTGGGTCGCCAGACCAAACAAATAATGTTAGCAAAATTTCAGACCCTAATGCTGTTAATTGCAAATGCCGAAAGTAGTCCGCTTTTTTGAAGCGGTTACTTCCCTTTATATGAACACTAACGCCGAAAAATTCAGGGGAGATCACTGCGTAAAGATTGTCAAATGACAGGCGCATTAATTTTCAAGCAAAATAGTTTCCGAATGGCCGAATATTTCTAATATTGTTTTAATCTTTATAGATATGCATGCTTATCGTAAGCTTCATGATTATTTACATCTGTGTTAAGTCGAAATAATAAGTGTTACATCCCCTTATTTAGAATGATATGGTTTTCTTCAGGTGGTCAACATATAATTTCACAGTGGCCGAGGGGTTTGCACGCTCGCTTAGGAATCGAGAGGTCTTGAGTTCAAATCCAAGTTAAGGCAATTCAATTTATTTTTTAATTGTTTAAGTCAAATAAACATTGGATTGAATATCAGTGTTGCAATTAGTCTTATAGCCAATCTACTACAGTTAAACACTTGAAAGCATTGGTGGCACTATACAAAAACAAATTTATAATCTCAAAACCTTCACCTTTCTGACATTCTGAGACCCAATCAAATTCAGCGCCTTCTGTCCTTTGATTTATTATAGTACTAAGTAGACAGTAGACATTTTATTTTATTCCAATAGGCTTTAAAGCCGATGAGGACATAAAACATGCACAATAACGAACAGTTCATATAAACATAATATCAAAAATCATGAAAAGGTTTGAAGAAGATCAATTTTGATTAATAAAGTAAATACCATCCGAAATTTTCTTAAGGAGTTACATAACTTAAATTTTCAAAATTGATCTTTAAACCAGTAACTTATAGGTCTCTTGTATATACATATACATACACACTTATAATACTGCACGTATGTAACGTCGCTTTTCATTGGATAATCGTGACGTTTATATAGTTTTATATACACGGCTGTTGTCGATTCATGAAGAAATCTTATTTTTTTTCTAACAAATGATGTTTGCTGTATTATAAATTCGTTATAAAGATTGTTGACAGGTTATATGGCCTAGCGGCTCGGGTTATATTTACAAAAAGCCGTTTATATAGGGCCATATAACCTGTCAATAATCTTTATAACTAATAATATACATGTACATACATACAAAAAACATACATTACATGAACCATTAATGCAAAATTGTTGTATATTAATCGATTTTTAACACATAAACGCAATTACCGTATGTTTATACACATATCCTAAAAAAATGAAGGTCCCTTCGCATCAATAGCGGATTTCATAATTGTAAATGAAAGGAACGTCATAATTTGATCAAAATAATTACATGCAAGAAATTGTCTATCATATTCTGGCGTTTTTTTTCCACAAACCCCCCAACAAAAAAAATATTTTTTTTTTTTAAGTATTGCAGGTATCAGCAATAAAAGAGTGACATTGGAATTTGCTTATCAATTATAAAGTTTCAAATCGGATTTGGATTTCAATGTTTTTATCCATGCCGGAAAACCCGCTTAGATGACGTCATTATCCTTATGAAAGAACGGTTTTAAAAATTATTACGCTACTCTTAAACTAGTGTTTACGAAGCATATGAAAGTGTTCATCCGTGTTGTTCTACAGAAATTAGAAACTTCGACGGGAGCGATAGCGACCGGTGAATATTTCTTATTGGGTGACAAATAAAGCTGGACACTAATATTATTTATTTCAGTTTCTTAATTTGGTTCTACACATCCTCTTTGTCTTGTAAACATAACTTTTCTATTATAAAGAAAATCAATATATTAATCAGAAAAAATGCGCCGTACGTTATCATTAATATTTTGTGCGCCATACGTTATCATTTCCAGAAAATGCCCCGATATTAATATTTTCAGCGGTTATTTTAGCCAGAATGGGCATGAATGCTTAGATGACGACATATTACAACTTTTTAAAGTCTGTGGTTTCAGTTAATGTACATATATGTAAACGAAACAGTGAATTTTAGAGAAAAAGCCGTACGTTACCACGATCAAACCGATGGAAAATTCTCTCGCTTCGAATCTGGTGACGCGCATTTCAGATGAAGTACGGGACGAAACATCATAAAATAAAATCTTGTGTGCCAGGAAAATTGTGGAGAAGGTTGTTATATGTACTTTAACATCAGAACATCACGAATTTCAGAGAAAAAAGGGAAAAACCTACTTTTAGCTGCATCCGCCATCTTGTTTGTTTGGGTAACGAACGGCGTGATTCTCCCCGTGTAAAATACGAGTAGAATTTAGTCAAATCACCGTGAAAAATGGCGGCTAAGGAGCATTAGGCTGATGAAGGTGAGATATAAACTAAATAAAGTTTCCTTTTAAAAGGAAAGGCTTGCACAGTTGTGCCTTCATCCCAACCCTTTAAAATTGTGTTGTTTTTTTTTTTTTTTTTGGTTTCAATTTATTATCACATTTTTTTTAATTACGGTACTTGTATATCATAAAGGGTTTATTTAGTTGTTTTTTTTTTTGTTTTTTTTTTTGGAAAACCGAATATTTTTTGTCAAAACGATTTGAAATCTATTCTCTATTGTATAAAACTAATAAAGA